CTTTAAATTTGTCTCGTTTTCTTGTATCTAATTATGAATAACCCTCTTTTACACCGTTCTTGCATTATCATTTCTGGTATACATATTTTTTCCTTCCTTGGTGATAAGATACCACTAAAAAAGTTTGTTTACTTGACCATATGTTTAAAAAATTTATATTCATTTAATATACAGTCTTGTTTGGTATTATCGCCTTTAGATTGCATTTATTTTATTTATTTTATTTATCAATTTCATAATACACGAAAAGAAACCGAAAAACAGAAAAGAGTCAATTTTTTTGCTTTCAAAATTATTCAATTATTCGATATGCCCTATTTTTGAGGCCCTTTAATTCTTATTTTTGAAAGCGAATGTAATTTTGCCAAAGAATTTCTTATCACAATGTCCTTTATACACAATAATTTTATTGAAAAATGATAATATTCTTCGTCACCAATTGGTATTTAATCGTTACACCAGTCAAATATAAACGACCCATTTTTAATCACTAACTTTTGGATTCCAATTGGAATCTACACATAATATCATCCGTTTTGCAGCCACAATGAAGTCTTATTGCATGTTAATCAGTAACAACTTCTACTGGCAACTCAAACTGATCTATTTCATGAAAATGCCGGATCCGGTCTTCGCGCTCTAGTTTTAATTTCTTGAATGTAAGTAATTATTATAAGTTCGTTTTGAATTATTAAATAATTTCATCACTGACTCTAATAAATAACGCTAAATATTCCTTTTTTACCTCATCCAAATTTTCATCATCACCTCTCTTGTTGGCTTTCTCCTTTTGATCGGGTTTATATTTTGTTCTTTTTTTTGATGATCCAACAATTTTACAATGTTTATCTTCATCAATATCATCATTCTCTGACGTATCACTATACTTTGCTCTTTTTCCTTTAGGATCATACTTTACGCGCCTTCTACGAGGTAAGAGAGCTTGTAATTCGCTTGTCTTCATGATATCCTTTTTTGTTTCAACGGTAATCTGGTTACGTGATCGCCTATTTGATTTTTTTTTGTGAGATTGTGATGATGAATTTTTGCTATATCTTTTTTCATTTTCGCTTAAATGAGCATCAGTTTCCTGGTGTGTACTGGTTTGTCCTTGTATTTCATTTGTTTCTATAGCAAGATAATCAATGCCGTCAGTATCAATTTCCGTTTGTGCGTCGTCATACATATTACGCGAGTTGTTTTGTTCCATTTGGATGGTTCGCGTTTAAGTTTGGCTTGTGGACATCATGTGTACGGACATCAATTTATTTTCTCCTTATGGTGTTACGGGTACCCTGGAATTTGTAGCACTAAGGGTAGAATCGCGGATTGTGAAACGTGAAAAATATCGTGATAGAGTAGCATAATATATCGTGACAGATTAGCATAATGCATGATATATTTATGTATATATATTAATAAACATATTATAATAAATATATAAAGCGACGATCCGACTGGGGAGTCGCAAGAAACTTTTTTCTTGTGATTATCTTCGTCATTATCGCTGTGTGCTGGAACCTGTATGATGCACCTATCTAAGTGGAAATTAGATGTAATAGTAAAACGGGTATTATCCAGGGTGTTGAGAACAATAGTCTGAATGAATTTTCTGAACCGTGACCCGACTTTTCATAGGTTTCTTCGAAGCTAAAAGGATTATCATTATCTCCTGTTGATGATAGTATAATCGGTTTTGCGACATACTCGAACTTAGATCATGTGTCAAAATAGACAAAAACTGTGGATTTTTTTAATGACCTTGAAATTTATCTAATTATTGTATTCCGGTCCTTTTGAAAATCGGGTGCCCACACTAATAATTTTCTTAGTTGATTTGTTCGAAAGATTTTCTGGTCGTGGCGTTCAGCACTGAGTCGTTATTATGTGCGAACGATTTAGTAAAACGTCGCCCACGATAAAAGGGCCTTCCTTATATGACCGGAAATCTACAGCGTTACCCCGTAGTGGGAAATTTATATTATTCAGTAAAAAGCAAGCTTCCGAAAACACTTGTTATTTCCCCAGTTTACCGAGGAATTACAAGCATTATTGGAAACTTGTTTCTTCACTGATTAGTGATTATAACGTGGAATAATATCAATTATACCTAATATCTTGAATACTTACACTTCTCTCACGTGGCATTTAGAGAAAATATAAGTTTCAAGCTTTACATGAGCAAGAAGACAGCTCTTACAACTAGCCGGTCTACGGGGCACGTACCAGACCACGTGAATTTGCAGGTATCGGATATCACAAGATTGATCATATGCAAGTTATCGAAGTGATATATTTTTTAGATAGCACGGTGCGAATATCCTTATCAACCTGTCCCTTTTGACATCAAATTCGTACTCAAATTCGTTCAAAAGGACATTGTAATTTCTTGTGGAAACCTTACATTTTTGCGATAGCGACCAAATATCCTAGATCTGGTGTAAAATTATTAATAATATAGGTATGAAATTATTAATTTTTTGTTCTCAATCAAAAAATCTCATTAATACCTTGTTAATAGTGCTAGTAAGAAAGAAACTAAATTTGCAATTTACTATGAAAATTTTCTTCTAAAAATCTATATATTATTATATAATAATTTATACTAGATCTAGGATGTTTTGTCACAATCACAAAAATGTAAAATTTTTGCAAAGTTAGATTAATGATATCATTATATTTCGTGATCTTGATACTATTTAAATTCTAATTATATGCTAGATTATAAGATATTATAATTATTAATTAATTTAAATTACAATGTTTTTTAAAATTATTTTGAAGTTATATATTTTATACAAATTTAAAAATTACTTTGTATGAATTTAAAAATACTTTGTATAAATCTGGTGTTAAAAAAATATAAAATACATAATCCTTAAAAGTTTAATTAAACTCAATTCAAAATCTTACTCTTCAAATTAAAAACTACTCTTAAACTTAAAAAAAAACTAAAAAAAACAAATTAAACAGAAAAAACAATAACAAATACTAAAAAAACTTCAAAAAGAAACTTAAATTTTATATAAAATCCAAAAAAAGCTCTAAAAAAATTTAATTTAAGTAAATATATTAATAGATTATTATCTAAAAAATAATCTATTTACAAACTTTAAA